TAACTTTTCCAACGAACTTATCCAATTGAAGTCTTTCATGTCTGACTCTGAGGGTGAGAAGTGCCCAACTAAATTGCTTGAGACATTGCAGCCACTTAATCTGCAGTCTGTGTTCCCCATTCTTTCGTGGCACTTCGGATTTGTCTAACTTTGCCAGTGACAAACTGCCAGGGTGAGCGGACATTTTCCCTTTTAGGCGGAATAAAAAATGAGCGGCGGAGTAGCATCTGCCAAACTCGTCTCAGCTCATTGTCACCTATGTCAATAGAGTCAGACCTTGGCAGACACCTAGATTTTGACGATCTAGCGAATGATTTTGCGAGGAGAAAGGCAAAAAAGACACCAATATAGGAAAGCGGGAGGGGGGGGCTCCAAAAGACATGTGCCCAAGGGCCTCACGGGACCATGATCCGGCCCTGCACACAGTACACACAGTACACACAGAGGACACAGTACACGCACAGTACACACAGAGGACACACAGAGGACACAGTACACACACAGTACACACAGAGGACACACAGAGGACACAGTACACACACAGTACACACAGAGGACACAGTTCACACACAGTACACACACAGTACACACAGAGGACACAGTACACACACAATACACAGACAGTACACACACAGTACACACACAGTACACACACAGTACACAGTACACACACAGTACACACAGAGGACACAGTACACACACAATACACAGACAGTACACACAGATGACACAGTACACACACAATACACACATAGTACACACAGAGGACACAGTACACACACAGTACACAGACAGTACACAATGCTGTCGCACGTCCGACCACATAGCCGCATGACGAGTGAATTCAAACCGCCAAGAGCAAATTGTCGGTTCGACTTGGGTTCGTGGCATCAACGCAAAATTGCATAACCCAGAACCCGCATATAAGTAAGGGTAGCCTGCTGAAATATTGCACTCCCACAATACCATGGGATCCATTGGCTTGTGTCATAACGACTTGCATGTTTGTTTATGTGCAGCGGCAGCTACGCGAAGGAGACGTATCGCTTGCCCTTATTTATTGCCCCTGAAGAACTCGGTATTTCCGCAGTGCTGAAACAGCACCTGCAACACTGGCTCGCATGACCTGCATGGTCAGCACATGCAACTCATCCACAGCCGCAGAAAATCCCACAGAGAGGCGATTTTATTAAAACAAATACATATCCTGCCGCTACCAGCCAACCGGAATGTAACATTGAAAACTTAAACACGTTCGCGCATGAGCCCTGCCTGTCCGTCAATCAGAGGGTGCCGTGGTGGCTAGGAGATGTTAACTCCCTCGCCTGGTATACAGGAGGACGTGGGTTAGATCCCGACCTGACGCCTGCTGCTGTGCGTTTGGAGTTTGCGGTGTCTCTCGAACAGTGGTCGCAATGATTTTTGTCCGCGTCCTCCCATTTCCACGATGAGCCACTTCGTTGGGATATCATTTGTGGCCAGGTCGCGTCTGAAAACGAGCTATATAGCTCAGTGGGCATTACCTTGTAAAATAAAAATGGTTTCAATGTCTTTTTTAGTTTATCTCGCCTTTTTCAACGATCCAACATGAATGACGCTTGAGTAAAACGTTGTGTTGATATGAGAGCCTTGCTCTTCTCAGAAGCTGGCCTCATTGGTCAGAGTTGCGCAAACACCAGATTGAAAAAAGGACTTTTTCACCCATAGGTATGCCATCGTGTTTTGCCTGACAGATACTCATCGCCTTCCATACACTTTCTAAGACAAACACGGGATGGCAATTGTGACATAATCCGTGCGTATGGATGCTTTTTGAAAAACCTGACTAAAGTGAAACCTCTTTGTGACACTCACCCTCGGTGCACTTTCCCCATAATCTCACGTCCTATTACTTACAGTCCCCGATAATAATAAAAAAAAACCCGTTGCCGCTGTGGCGGCGTTCCGTGATGTGAAACATTTGCGGTTTGTGAACGACGCGCCGATTGACCGTCCACCTTGTGGGCCACCGGCATGCATCGTCGGGCAACGTGGCACCGCACAGCGGAGAGTCCGGTCGTCTCTCTGCGGACGCAAAGCGCTTCTATTTGAAGTAAACGCTCCCCTTTGCCAGAGGGCACTCGCTAGGATACTCAAAGTAACATCAAACACGCGTCTGAAAGGGAGCCCTTCCGGCAAATATTTTCTCGAACACACGAGCAGAACTTGCGGTTGACAACCCTCTGCAGGGGCAGGACAGACTTCTGCCAAGGGGCAGGGGGGTGAATGTGTACCCAAGGTGTTGGTAATGAAACCAAAAGCGGTGGTGGTGGCTCAACATTTATTTTGTGTGCCGGGTGCAGCAGCAGCAGCAGCAGCAACAGCGGTAGGATCGGAGATGTTTCTCCACGGCTCTGAGGAGAGCCCTTCAACTCGTTACACTCGAGAACCCAAAATGAGGATTCCAGTGATGCCGGGCCACTACTCGACCCCCTGGACTACCCTGTCACCTGTCACTCTTATTTCTATATTCTATCAAACTAAACTTTGTTTTATTTCACCAGGTAAGACCCACTGAGCTATGTAGCGTTTCCTCAGAAACGACCTGGCTATCAGCAATGATAGCTCAACGAGGTGGCTGATCATGTAGACATTGATGGCAGCCAAAAACTCGAGACGCATGTTTGTTCTAAATGTTGAGGGAAAACCCAGAGGACCCGGAGAAAAATCCACACAACTACGGATAGAGAGACACGCAAACGCCAAAGAAACAGGCGTCAGGGTTGGGGTCGAACCCACGACCTCCTGTATATCAGGCGAGGTAGTTAACATCTCGGCACCATGGTGAAATGAAACAGGCGTCAGGGTTGGGGTCGAACCCACGACCTCCTGTATATCAGGCGAGGTAGTTAACATCTCGGCACCATGGTGAAATGTAACTCTTTGTCGATCGCACTCATTGTGTCAACTATAAACTTTTACTTGTATGACTATCGGCAGCATGTTAATAGTTAGTTATTTTTACACATGGGGCAACCTTACCCGATTTTACGACCAACACATATGGCGTGTCAGATTCACCCCGTCGCCAAAACATTAAACCTAGGATGCCTAAATAAACCACTTTGTGATCTGAAACAAAACCGAATAACGTTACACGAAAAAAGCCACGTCACATCACTCTCACTTTATTTGAAAATATCATGATTCCACAAGAAAGCACGGCGAAATAAAGGATGAAGATACACACATTGCCTAATTATGCAAGAGCCTGGACGTGATTGAAGATAATGACGTCTGTAAAAATAACTAGATGATAACACGCCTTCATATGTGACAAAGTGTGCAAAGAAACGTGGAGAGGCACACGCTTGTAATCGCACCGAGAGACCGCGCGGATCGGAGGACGCACGCGGTCGACAATCACGTTGGCTTCTTATGTGGCCCTTGGGCAGGAAGCGTCGTCACTGCGGTCGAGACTGAGGATGGAGCGGCAGCCCGAGGCGTGAACTCGGCCGAGTGGACTCCGACCGCCGCGGAGACGGAGCGGTGAAATAAATCGTGGCCAGGAGCTCGAAATATTGATGAACGTGAGAAGTGTATTCATGTATGCGTGAATGTTGAACTTCTTTCGTACCGTACATATTCATCTGTGCTAACTAGAGGTGCGAGATGGTGACAGCTTTGGCGCCACGGTGACAAGCAAGATGTTAACTACCTCGCCTGGTACACAGGAGGTCGTGGGTATGATGCCGGCCCTGAGGCCTGTATATTTGTAGTTTGTGTGTCTCTCTCTCCCCGTGGTCGCGTGGATTTTTCTCAGGGCCCTCCGGCTTTTCCCTCCACATTTAGAATGAACATCACGCGTTTAGAGTATTTGACTGCTATAAATTTCCACATAAGCCACTTCGTTGAACTTTCATTTGTGGCCAGGTCGCTTCTCAGAAAGAGATACATAGTTCAGGGGACTTTACTTTGTAAAACACATTTTTTGAAGTTTTAGCAGCACAGAGCTCTTGAAGCAGCATGGGTGGACAGGAGTAAACCATTCATCAAGGCCACGTGGATCTCGGGTCATTTAGCGTCAGGTTTGGCAGGGTCAACCGACAGCGGAAAATTCTGCACCCTCACTGCGCCCCGAGCTCGTTAGTTGGCTCGCGGAGGTCTCCCTCCGGCAATGGTTGTTGTTGTTGCTGACGGTATTGATGGTTTGGCTTCGAGGACACCTGTTTTGTAATGAAACTGAATGTTTCATTGGTTGCGTTTATTCAACATTCTTATCAACATCTTTAGTTAGACTAAAGAAGGAATCCGATGAGCTATGAAGCTCTGTTTCACAGACGTCCAGTGTGGGCAGGTCAGCGAGTTAAAACAACAGATTGTCTCCGATAATTTAACGTTCAGATAACTGTCACATGAGGAATCATGTACAAAAAAATGTTGGCAGAACACCGAAGTGAAGAGAAAGTTAAATATTTTTCCACACAATATTTCTGGTTTACAAATGCAATCCTGCAGTTATTTTCAGAAAAAATGCATAGATTTAACATAAAAAACATTAAATAAAATTATACAACCCCCTCTTCTAGTCTAGAGTTAAGTTAACACAATATAATACATGGTCGTTCTAAAGCAATTCCGTTACCTTAATATCATACTCATAAACATGTGCATGCAATGCACACATTGAGCTAAGAGTACAAACACATAACCCCTAATGGGAGAGCAACGATGACTCTACTCCCACAGCAACCCCCCCCTGCCCAGGATCTGTAGAATGGCCACCAACTATTTGGGGAATTGTCACGAATCTAGGGATTATCACAATTCATTTGGGGAAGTGTGATTAATGAATCAAGGGATCGTCAAAATTCAATTTAAGAATCAAATCCTTTCCGTCTGTTATTACGTCTGACCTATTCTTTGGTTATTTCGGTAAAGTCACGTAGATAGAAAAATTAAAATAATGAAAACAGAAAACAAAAAACCACGACGTTTCAGTCACAACACAAGCGGGGCAGCTTATGTCAATGTAGCCCAAGTGTGTCAGCAGCATGGGCGGGCAGCTTATGTCAATGTAGCCCACGTGTGTCAATAGTGTGGGCGGGGCAGCTTATGTCAATGTAGCCCAAGTGTGTCAGCAGCATGGGCGGGCAGCTTATGTCAATGTAGCCCAAGTGTGTCAATAGTGTGGGTGGGGCAGCTTATGTCAATGTAGCCCAAGTGTGTCAATAGTGTGGGTGGGGCAGCTTATGTCAATGTAGCCCAAGTGTGTCAATAGTGTGGGTGGGGCAGCTTATGTCAATGTAGCCCAAGTGTGTCAGCAGCATGGGCGGGGCAGCTTATGTCAATGTAGCCCAAGTGTGTCAGCAGCATGGGCGGGGCAGCTTATGTCAATGTAGCCCAAGTGTGTCAGCAGCATGGGCGGGGCAGCTTATGTCAATGTAGCCCAAGTGTGTCAGCAGCATGGGCGGGGCAGCTTATGTCAATGTAGCCCAAGTGTGTCAGCAGCATGGGCGGGCAGCTTATGTCAATGTAGCCCAAGTGTGTCAATAGTGTGGGTGGGGCAGCTTATGTCAATGTAGCCCAAGTGTGTCAATAGTGTGGGTGGGGCAGCTTATGTCAATGTAGCCCAAGTGTGTCAATAGTGTGGGTGGGGCAGCTTATGTCAATGTAGCCCAAGTGTGTCAGCAGCATGGGCGGGGCAGCTTATGTCAATGTAGCCCAAGTGTGTCAGCAGCATGGGCGGGGCAGCTTATGTCAATGTAGCCCAAGTGTGTCAGCAGCATGGGCGGGGCAGCTTATGTCAATGTAGCCCAAGTGTGTCAGCAGCATGGGCGGGGCAGCTTATGTCAATGTAGCCCAAGTGTGTCAGCAGCATGGGCGGGGCAGCTTATGTTAATGTTGGAGAAAGCAACTAACCTGCAGTGGGTCTCCACCAATCAAAGGGCCACCAGACAATCATTTCACCTCTCTCCACACACCCACACTGCTGACGGTGGGGGTTGACAAAAAAACACAAATCAAGTCATGACCCAAAGTGGTTGATGACATCTTTCCAATGATTGCTGAGTTTGGCTTGTTCCGTCTTGCATGTTTCGTTCCATAAAGATTAAAAATAAAGTTACATCTGCATGCACATTTGTTTTTTTTCTCAAATTACAAACAATATTGACGCATGTATCGGAAAGGTAAGAATTTCAACCGGAGAACCAATAATGTACTAAAAATATAATTGTCAATAAGAGCCAGTAGTGCGTGCCTCACTGTGGTCCCCAGGTCATTGCATGAGTCCAGTGACATCTCGATACTCCCAAGCGGCTCGTTTCTCTGTGACGGACACTCCTGGTATCGCGTCTTGTAATTTATGCGTGCGTTTATACCAAAGCATCACAATAAGTAACCATCCATGGTTGGACATAACGCGTCACGTTGGCCTATTTAAATCCCTTTCCTGGTTGATTCTTCCAGCCATAGGCAAGAGAGAGGGGGAGTCAATCTAAACTGTATTCTCTGCATTGTAAATTAAATGAATCCGTAAAGTTTAAAAGACGGCATACATTTTCTTCCTGTGCGTGAGATACATTTATTTAAAGAATTAATTCATTTGTCTTGCTGCTTTTCCTCCAAAATCCCTATTGAATAAAACCCCGCCAATTTTGTAATCGAGAGGTGAACCCGGAACCCCCAAATGGAGTCTCTCCATGGTCGCCGGCGGCCGCCCCGAAGGGCAGGCCCCCCGCACTCCGCGTCACACCACGCGCACGCTCGTGCGCCGCCACTCCTCCCCGACGGCATTCCTTGCCGAGCATCGGTAGAAGCCGGCGTCGCGCGCCGCGGCCGCCGCCACGACCAGCGTGCCGCCCGCGAGCACGTAGCGGCCGCTCCGCGCCGAGCGCATCGCTGGGGTCCCCGTCGACAGCCGCGCCCCGTCCGGCAGCTCCCACCCTACCTCAGGCCCGGGGGCGCCGCTTGCCGTGCACGGCAGGCGCAGCGGAGCGCCGCGGAGCACCGCCATGGCGGGGGGCGGCCCGTCCACGATGCGTGGGGCCTGTGCCACCACCACCACCCGCACCGTCCGGCTCTCCCCGTCGGCGGCGGCGCCGGCGGCCCCACGAGCGGTGCACACGTACGCCCCGCCGTCGCGCGTCAAGCTGTCGCGCACCGCCAGCGTGCCGTTCGCGAACAGCGTGCGGCGGCCGCTCGCGCCGGGGACCTCGACGGTGATGCTGCTCGGCAGCCGCCACGACGCGCGCCCGGCGGCCACGACGCAGTGCAGCCATAGCGCGTCGCCGGCGAGCGCCGCGACGGTGCCGCCCGACATCCACGCGATCCGCGGCCGCGGCCCGACCTCCAGCAGCACCGCCCTGTCGGCCGCGCCATTTGGGCCGCGCGACGAGCAGCGGTAGACGCCGGCGTCGGCCGGCGTCGCGCCGCGCACCAGCAGGGCGCCGTCGAGGCCCGCCGAAAAGCGCGTGCCGCGGGTGCCGCCGCGGGCCAGCTGGGCGCCGCCGGGCAGTGTCCACGTCGTTCGCGGGGGCGGCTCCCCGCGCGCCGGGCAGGCCAGCGCCACGGAGCCCCCCAGGGCGACCTCGGCGCGCTCCGCGGTGGGCGCGAGGAAGGAGGGCGGGGCGGGGGCGCCCGTCACGGTCAGGTCGACCGAGAGGCGGGCGTCCCCGCCACCGTCGGCGCCGCGCGCCACACACACGTAGCGCCCGGCGTCGGAGCGTGCCGCCGAGCGGATCTCCAGAGAGCCGTCAGCGTGGGTCAGCAGGCGACCGGAGGAGTGTGGCACCGGCAGGAAGGCGCCGGAGGGCGTGATCCACACGACGTGGGGTCGGGGGTCTCCGTCCGCGGCGCAGGGCAGCAGCTTGCGCGCGCCCTGCGCCACCGAGTCTGCAGGAGGAGCATCGAGGATACGGAGGGTTGGTATTCGTCGGCGCTTACAAACATTTGCGACTCAAACGCCCGAACTTCACATCCAATCTCAACCATTCCAATGTCCTGCCAAGGGGATGCCAGCGGCAGCTGTTCCAGTGTTTCACGAGGTGGACGTGGTACAGGCCTGTAAGGGAGATGCAATGACGGTGATACCCTCTATTTGTTTAGGAAAGCCTCTCATTGCGATGTTATGTATTAATGCGCATTTGTGGGGGGAAATTAGGGTACTGATTGTATGTATGTTGAACTTCTTTCGCATCGTACGTAGCCAACCGTGCTAATCGAAGGTGCGGGGGAAGGTCAACAAACTAAACACAAAAAACACTCCGAAACAAAGTTTTCAATTTAAATGATTGGTACGTGAGAATAACACTCAAAGCTCCACACGGATGGATTCAATGATTCCGCACCTCCAATGAGCACGGTTGCCTACGTACGGTGTGAAAGAAGTTCAACACGCGTAAATACATATCCATCGCTGTACCCACCTGGTGACCGCCTTGCAGCCCAAGCCAATACCTTCAAGCACTGAGAAGGCTCAATGCTGCTTTAGCTTCTGAGATCTCGACGAGCTTGGACGTTGTTTAAGACTAATCCGGTCATCGGCTGGTAACAGGATAACCTGTGCTTGCGTCACCACGCTCAGCCCCGTTGTCCTTTTACTTATCGAGCGCAGGGATTCTCAAGCGAACGTATCACAACCCTCCCCTCCCCCCCCCCCCCACGTGGGGTCCCACTGCGATCAGAGAGGGGTCAGAGGGGTCAGCTTCGAGTGTCGAGGCCTTAGAGGCCATAATGGTCCCCATGGTTCTAGGGCACCGCTGTTTTCCGTGGATCGTGTTGCCTCGTCCGGTCGCTTTGTGCAAACGCGACGTGGGTCGTCGCGTGCTGCCGAGAGCTCGCCACGCTGGAGACGCCTGCGTCGTCGTGCCGGCAGCACTGGCTCACTGCCACCGGCGTGGCCATGACGAGCCTTCTGAAGGTCAGAAAGACACCCGCCAACTTCAAGGCTCAAAGGATCTCTGCGGTACTGGCTCAGTGCCCTGACATGGCCACTATGAACCCAGCTGCAGAGCTTGACAGCAGAATGTGAGCAGTGCAGGTTCATTATGTCTGACACCGCCTTCGTGAGCTCTTCACAAAGAGCTCAGATTATGGCTTGGTGCTCTGAATTGACAATTATGAGCCTGCTGAAAGGGGGACAAAAGAGAGACAGAGCCTGCAGAAGGGCTTCAAGCCAAGATCTCAGTGGTGCTCGCATAGTACCTCGGCACAGCCAGGGAACTCTACGGCTCGTGTGCGGAGCCACGTGAATCATTTCAACGTGGACCCATGAGGAATGGCAAACTGTTGAGGTATGCCATCATCCAGTGGATAGATCACTGCTGCTGTTGTTAAGAGCATGTGCACCTTACGAACAAAGACGGTCACTGCATCGCGCGCTTTCAGATGCGCTTCTGCGGCCGTCTGGAACCCTCTTCCTTCCGATATTAGAAAGCCACTGGAGCTATGCACTTTTAAGTCTAGATTGAAACTCATTTTTTATAACTGCTTTATGTGTTTGTTGACCTTGCCCCGCACCTCTGATTAGCATGGTTCGCTACATAGGGTGTGAAAGAAGTTCAAAATACATACATACACACACATACAGTGAGGGAAAAAAGTATTTGATCCCCTGCTGATTTTGTACGTTTGCCCACTGACAAAGAAATGATCAGTCTATAATTTTAATGGTAGGTGTATTTGAACAGTGCGAGACAGAATAACAACAACAAAATCCAGAAAAACGCATGCCAAAAATGTTATAAATTGATTTGCATTTTAATGAGGGAAATAAGTATTTGACCCCCTCTCAATCAGAACGATTTCTGGCTCCCAGGTGTCTTTTATACAGGCAACGAGCTGAGATTAGGAGCACACTATTAAAGGGAGTGCTCCTAATCTCAGCTTGTTACCTATATAAAAGACACCTGTTCACAGAAGCAATCAATCAATCAGATTCCAAACTCTGAACCATGGGCAAGACCAAAGAGCTCTCCAAGGATGCCAGGGACAAGATTGTAGACCTACACAAGGCTGGAATGGGCTACAAGACCATCGTCAAGCAGCTTGGTGAGACGGTGACAACAGTTGCTGCGATTATTCGCAAATGGAAGAAACACAAAAGAACTGTCAATCTCCCTCGGCCTGGGGCTCCATGCAAGATCTCACCTCGTGGAGTTGCAATGATCATGAGAACGGTGAGGAATCAGCCCAGAACTACACGGGAGGATCTTGTCAATGATCTCAAGGCAGCTGGGACCATAGTCAACAAGAAAACAGTTGGTAACACACTACACCATGAAGGACTGAAATCCTGCAGCACCCGCAAGGTCCCCCTGCTCAAGAAAGCACATATACATGCCCGTCTGAAGTTTGCCAATGAACATCTGAATGATTCAGAGGACAACTGGGTGAAAGTATTGTGGTCAGATGAGACCAAAATGGAGCTCTTTGGCATCAACTCAACTCGCCGTGTTTGGAGGAGGAGGAATGCTGCCTATGACCCCAAGAACACCATCCCCACCGTCAAACATGAAGGTGGAAACATTATGCTTTGGAGGTGTTTTTCTGCTAAGGGGACAGGACAACTTCACCGCATCAAAGGGACGATGGACGGGGCCATGTACCGTCAAATCTTGGGTGAGAACCTCCTTCCCTTGGCCAGGCATTGAAAATGGGTCGAGGCGCACGCTGCGGGCCGTCAACCCGAGGAAGGCTGCGGGACCTGATGGCGTCCCGGGACGTGTGCTGAGGGACTGTGCTGACGAGCTGGCTGGAGTCTTCACAAGGATTTTCAACCTGTCTCTGGAACAGTCCACTGTACCAACCTGCCTAAAGTCCTCCACCATAGTCCCGCTGCCCAAAAAAACCCACATTTCCAGCTACAACGACTACCGGCCAGTAGCACTCACGCCAGTGGTGATGAAGTGCTTTGAAAAACTGGTCCGGAGTCACATCATAGGAAGCTTGCCCCGAAACCTTGACCCACACCAGTTTGCCTACAGAGCGAACCGATCCACGGAGGACGCCGTGGCCACAGCACTACATGCTGCACTGTCACACCTGGAGCAGCAGGGGAGCTATGTGCGGATGCTCTTCGTGGATTACAGTTGCGCGTTCAACACCATCCTCCCACACAAACTGGTGGAAAAACTGGGCGACCTGGGGATTCCACATTCCACCTGCATGTGGATATATAGTTTCCTCTCGGGCCGCAGACAGAGGGTCAGAGTGGGCCGTCATACATCCACAGCCCTGAGCCTCAGTACCGGCTCCCCCCAGGGCTGTGTACTGAGCCCCCTGCTCTACTCCCTCTACACACATGACTGTGCCGCCGTCCACCATAGCTACACCATTGTGAAGTTTGCTGATGACACCACAGTGGTGGGGCTCATCTCTGGGGGGGATGAGTCTGCCTACAGGGACGAGGTGGAGCGGCTGACAGCATACTGCAGGGGCAACAACCTGCTCCTTAACACCGCAAAGACCAAAGAGCTCATAATAGACTACAGGAGAAAGAAAACGGACACTCCACCACTAATCATCAGCGGGGACTGTGTGGAGAGGGTGGCAGATTTCTGCTTCCTGGGAGTCCACATTGGGGAGGGCCTGACCTGGAGCGCCAACAGCACTGAGCTTCTGAAAAAGGCCCAGCAGAGACTTTACTTCCTGAGAATTCTCAGGAATAATAACATCACACAGAAACTGCTGGTGTCCTTCTACCGAGCCTCCATCGAGAGCATTCTTACATACTGCATCTGTGTATGGTACACCAGCTGCACAGTGGCTCAGAGGAAAGCGCTCCAGAGGGTCATCAACACAGCCCAAAAGATCGCCGGCTGCCATCTCCCCACACTGGAAGAACTACACAGTTCACGTTGCATCAAAAAAAGCACAGAACATTATAAAGGACTCTTCTCACCCTGGACACTCACTGTTTGAGCTGTTGCCATTAGGCAGACGATTCAGATCAGTCAAAACAAGGACAAACAGATTCAAACAGAGCTTTTATCCTACAGCGATCACCACACTCAATAATGCGAATTAATTATTAAGTAATAGTGTTTACAATTGACTGTGAAATAGAGATGTGCAATGACAAAATGTAACCTTATGTGGGTATGTGGGTATACTTGGGCTGTTTTTATATATAGTATACATTTATTATCTTTCATTTAATTTTATTTTTATTTTCTTGTTTTATTTAATTTAAATTATGAATGATGCCCTGACTGGTGAGCATTTTAAATTTCGTTGTACTGGTGATAATGACAATAAACGATCTATCTATATATCTATTCCAGCATAAGAATGACCCAAAACACACGGCCAATGCAACAAAGGAGTGGCTCAAGAAAAAGCACATTAAGGTCCTGGAGTGGCCTAGCTAGTCTCCAAACCTTAATCCCATAGAAAATCTGTGGAGGGAGCTGAAGGTTCGAGTTGCCAAACGTCAGCCTCGAAACCTTAATCACTTGGAGAAGATCTGCAAAGAGGAGTGGGACAAAATCCCTCCTGAGATGTGTGCAAACCTGGTGGCCAACTACAAGAAACGTCTGACCTCTGTGAAGGGTTTTGCCACCAAGTACTAAGTCATGTTTTGCAGAGGGGTCAAATACTTATTTCCCTCATTAAAATGAAAATCTATTTATGACATTTTTGACATTCGTTTTTCTGGATTTTGTTGTTGTTATTCTGTCTCTCACTGTTTAAATAAACCTACCATTAAAATTATAGACTGATCATTTCTTTGTCAGTGGGCAAACGTACAAAATCAGCAGGGGATCAAATACTTTTTTCCCTCACTGTACATACAAAGGGGACCGGGAGACGAGGGGACCGGGCGACGAGTCTCACCCTTGATCTCGGGGCTGCTGCCGGCGCGTCCATTGATGGAGGGTGGCGCCGGCAGCACGTCGAGCCGCACGGCACGCGAGTCCTCGCCGGCCGCGTTCCGCGCCACGCACACGTAGCGCCCGGCGTCGGCGATCCGCGCCCCGCGCACCTCCAACGCCGAGTCTTCCCCGCGCACCGACAGCGCCGCCCGGCGCGGGGCCTCCTGGCCCGGCGTGCGCGACGAGCGAGGCCTCCGCGGCGAGGAAGGCGGCGACGATGGCGGCGGGAGCTGGGAGCCGTCGGGAAGTCGCCACGTGACGAGCGGGGCCGGGTCGCCCGACGCGCGACACTCGAGGGCGACGGAGCCTCCCGACGTGATGCGCACCACCGCTCGCTCTGGCTTGTCCTGGATCTGTGGGGCCTGGTTGATACCAACGATGGTGACAGTGGTGATGATGATGATGATGGAGGCGATGGTGTTGATGTTGTTAATGATAAGATGATGTTAATGATGATTGAGATAATGAAAGTGATGATGACAATGGTGATGGTAACGATGATAAAAGCAGTGATAGCAATGATGATGGTTGTCATAATGATGGTAAGATTTAACACGTCATATACAACTCTGACCATGTTTAATGTGCTTACCAGACAAGGCAGTGATTAATAACCAATTGAGCTATATTTTTATATGATTATGCTGTTTTTATAGTAGCCTCATGACTCTTTTCAGGAGGGTTTTGCTCACCTTTCCTGGTCCAAATGAGTACATTTGGACCACGATGCCAGCCCACGGGATCTTGATTGTGCGCTGTGAACCAGAGGGTGCTTAGAATTGTTACGGTTCACACTGCAATAGTAACCGGGGCGGCCGCTTGATTCGAACCACGAGCCCGTGCAACAAGTGGCGAACACGCGACCGCGAAGACCACGTCACCTCCCAAGATTGATTCCTTAGCGAGTGGAGGCAGTGGAGATGATAGTAATGCAGACGATGGATGAGTAAAGCTATTACTTGGCAACTGTGGGCTGCGACGTGCATTTGCACCGCCGGTAATCCCACGGCGCCAGTTAAGAAGAGCTTCACCGTAATGTTGCCGGCGTGCCGCCACCACCGGCGCTCTGCTGTCCCCCACCTGTCCCTCGACGGCGACGCGCACCACCATGGCGTCCCAGCCCACGGCGTTCTCCGCGTAGCACGTGTAGTCCCCACCGTCCGCCGGGCCGACGCCCCTCAGCGCCAGCGTGCCATTGCCGAACGCCGCGTACCGCCGAGCGCCGCCCGCTGCCAACGTCGCTGCGGTGCCGCCATCGCCGCCGGCTCGGGCTCTGGAATCGGCCGGCACCACCGCGCCGTCGGGTAGGCTCCATGAGACGTGGGGTCGCGGCCAGCCGGAGGTCACGCAGTCGAAGCGGAGGTCGGCGCCGTGACGCACGCTCTGTTTGATGCCGCCGCCGGAGGCTCGGGTGTCCCCGGAGTGGCGCTCGATGCGAGCCGGGCGCATGGTGACGGAGACGGCGGCCGCGGCGCTGTCCTCGCCGTACCGGTTGCGCACCGTGCACACGTAGCGCCCCGCGTCAGACGCCACCGCCCCGTCCAGCGCCAGGCTGCCGTCGGGCAGCACACGCACGCGGCGATCCGCACTGGGCGGGGGGGAGGCGGGGAGCGGGTGGAAGGGTGGGAGGGAGCGGAGCGGCGGGGTGAGTGGCGGGGTAAGCGGTGGGATCCTTTAAGCGTTGATTTTCGTCTTAAGGGATTCGGGTCAACGCAATTAATTCGGCCGGTTTTCTGTAGGGTTGAACCGTACCCTCGCGTGACTCGCGTCGAATTATCATTCAGAGAGCAGGCATGCCCCACCATGGCAGACAGACGGAGCTCGTGGATGAACGATTTCGATTATTGTTGGAAACCGCGGGCGCGAGACAAGAGCCACTCACGCGAACCACATGCTGGCCGTCCCGCCCGATGGCAGCCGCCACACCACGACCGGCTGCGGCTCTCCCTCGGCCACGCAGCGCAGGCGGAGGGCGCCCCCGTAAGGCACGGCGACGTCCGCCGGCGGCGGCGCCGCCACGCGGGGCGGCCCCAGCACCGTGACGAGGACGTCGGCACTGTCGACGCCGACCACGTTGGCGGCCGCGCACCTGTACGTGCCGGCGTCGTGCCGCGTTACCGCCGGCACCAGCAGCGTGCCGTTGGCGAAAACCCGCACCCCCGACCCCGCGCCGCTCCGCCGATCGGGAAGCAGCCGCCCGCCATCCCCCGGCAGTGCCCAACTCACGGCCGGCTCTGGCCACCCGGAGGCGGCGCACGGCAGCGAGAGCGGCCGCCCGGCCGCCACGGACACGGCGGCGGCGCCACGCACCACCGTCGGCCCGACGGGGAGCACGTGCAGGCGGACGGTGATGGCGTCGGTGCCGGCCGCGCTCCTGGCGACGCAGGAGTAGTCGCCGCGATCAGACGGGCGCACGTCAAGCACCGTCAGCGTCGCCCGCTCCGACACGGACACGCGCCCGCCGCCGTGATGCGCCGCCGCCGCGGCCACGGACGAATGATCGGGCAGCGTCCACGAGATGGCGGGCGGCGGGCTCCCCTGTGCGGCGCACTCGGCCTCGGCGGTGCCGCCCAGGGACACGCGGAGCTCGCGCCAGCGGGGGGACAGCACCCGGGGCGGGCGCGATTCCACGCGCAGCGCGACGGTTGCCCCGCCGGTGCCGCCGCCGCCCGTCGGCGTCTCGCAGGTGTAGCGGTCGGCGTCTCCGGGAGAGGCGGAGCGGACGGCGAGCGTGCCGTCGCGCAGGACGGCCACACGGCGGCCGGAGGGAGCAGAGGAGAATGCGACGATGGATCCTGGACGCGTGCGCATCATTATCATCGCCCAATGTCATCATCGGCTTACTCGGCAGCAACGACGGCAGGAGTAGAATAATAATCATCGTCGTCTTCGTCTCATTGTCATTATTCTCAACGTCAAGAGTAATAATTTTCTTCAACGTCATCATTATCATCATTGGCAGCAGCTTCATTATTGTCAATGTCATCACTGTCATCGTCAACATTTTGAACATCGTCATCATCATGAACATTATATCGACCCGTGAGCTTACCCGCACCTCTGATTAGCGCAGTCAGATACGTACGGTGCGAAATAAGATCTACAAACATAAGCGGTGTTATTATTGTGAACGACCTGGATGTAAATGAATGCAAAAAAAAATAACTAAAAACGATTTACTGTTACGCTCTCGATTGCACGCGCATGCGTCTTTGAGCGCGAGCTTCGATTTCAATCGATAAATCGTCGCAACGCGCTCATTGGCGGTGAAGCGAAAGGTGTGGGCGGGCACGGAGCGGCGATGGGGGTGGACACAAACGCGGGAGGGCTGGGGGGGGGGCGACGACGACGACGCACCTGTGCTCGCCCTGATCCAGCGCACGTCCACGAAGCCACCGCCCCCCACGCTGCCGCACGGGAGGAACGCGTCTGCTCCCGCCGCCGCGGTGACACTCGGCGCCTCCTCGGCCGCCCCTTGCCTGTCCAACACAACATCGGTGGAGGCTCCCGCGTCCGAACCGTTGGTTCTCCGCGCGTGCCCCGCGTCGGAACCGCCGCCGCCCGAACCCGTCGCCCCAAAGCGCCGGGCAAAGCCGGGGCGGAGCGGCGTGAGTCGCGCCGGCGGTGGCGGCGTCGGCGACTGCTGCTGTGTGAGCCTCGTGCCTCCTCTCGGGCCCGGATTTGGTAATTGCGAGCGCGGCGAGGCTTGTCTGGGGCGTTCTACGGCTTTTGCTTCCGAGGTCAGGGCACCGATGAGGTCATTTCCAGAGCCACGTCTGCTTGGGTGCCAGTTTGTTGACCTCTGAGCTCCAGCGCCGCCCTGGGGATTTTCAAAGCGTTCGGTCGCTGTCAGAGTGGTGCCGAGGGAGTTAACGGCGACCCTCGGGGCGCTGTGCGGCCTTGGCGGAAGTGGATTCCAAAATGTCCTGGTCCTGTCATCCTCCAGCTCGGTCGAAACCACCTTGCGTAAAGGCGGCGGCGTGGGTTTCGCAACCAGCGCCGTGATTTCAGGTCTGTTTGTCACCGCTCCGTTCAACCGTCTCGGGTAAAAATTCCAGAGTTTTGGCAAAAGTGGGTGATATCGCACGGGAGAGTAACCGGGCGCATAGCGGTTGCTGTGGCGATGGTGGTGCTCTTGCCAAGATTGCTGTGGGTGGAACTGCCGAGACGGCGGCTTACGAGTTATGGGGTTGTGCGTCCTGCGAGGCGAGTGATTCACTCCCTGCACACCGCCAGGGTGAAGCGGCCTCTCTTCCTGTGCGATTCCCAAACGGAGCTGATTGCCTGTTTCTCCCCGCGTCACCGGGGCGCTCGCAGAGTGAGTGCCGTGATGGGGGCGCAACCTCGCCGCCCCGCCGGGATCTGGGAAACGTTGGGCAGGCAGCGGCGGCGCACCCACCGGGGCGGCACCACCAAGGCTAAGAACCGCAGATGCCGTACCCTGCATCCGTGCCACGTGCCCTGTGCTCGCTCCACCCACCAGCTGCGACTGCTCGTCCCTCCCTCCCTGTGCGGGGAACGCGTGCGATGGTCTTGGTGTAACGACGGCCTGAGTCTCTACCTCGTGCCCGCCCGATCTGTCTACGTCGTCCGCTCGGCCCAACGCGGCACCACTGTCCATTTTTCCAGTGGGCTGCGTGGGCTGCGCGGCCTCCACGTGGCGCCCGGCCGCTCCGCCCTGCGTCTCCCCCGAGCGGTGCGTCATGCGCGGGCCGTACCTTCGCTCCACCTCCTCGCTACGTCCGAGCGTCCTGTCGTAAGCGCTCCCCCACGCTCCAGTTCTCATTCCGCCTCCTTCGCTCCCTGCGCCGCCGCCGCCCTTGCTCGTCTCGACCGAGTCGCCCCGGGAGCTTGGCTGCTCGCTGCCGCCGGGGCGATGCCGCCCGAGCGACGACGTTCGACCGTCGACAGACGTGGCCTCGGCGAGCTCGCGTTTGTCCCCGGGGAGAGCCGCCTGTGATTTGGTCGGAGCCTCTGGCTCGTCCGTGCGAGGGGAATCGAACGTGTCCCTCACTACACCGCCACCATCAAGTTCATCCACGCCAGGCTCGTAGGGCCTGGCTGCATTTTCCCGTGAGGCTGTGCGAGCCGTTGGATCTTGCATGTGATGTCTGTCCGTGTGCATCTCTTCATGGTGGAAGGAATTTGTTGCTTCTTCCTCCTCCTCTTTTGCCTCCTCTTTTTCCTCCTCTTCTTCCTCAATATGTGCAGCGGTGGCCGTTTCACTTTTTTCTGTCGGACGGATGTCGTGCCATTTGGCCCGCTGGCCGTCCGTACCCTCCGAGAATGAATTGAGATGGTAGTTGGGCTCCATCGCGCTGTCTTCTCCCAACGGCTCGGGTGTTAAGATCCGGTTGATGGGTGGTGAAGGGACAGCGCGGGGTACAGAAACTATTCCCGGTCTAGTGGTAGGAGGATATGGAGGCTGTGGCGTGGGGTTGGGGTTAAATTTAGCGACGGCCACGTCCACATCGTCCGCCGACGACTCCTCGTTCTCAGCCTCGGCCCTACCATCGCTCCCACGTGTCGATTCATCATCGGCCCGCGACCTCCCACCTCCCTCCTCTGTAACATCTTTGTTATCCTCCTCCTCTGTCTTCTCCTCCTCTTCCTCCTCTTCCTCCTCCTTTTCCTCTATCCTGGCGGGAGAGGTTGTGTGTGGTGGCTTTGTGTGGGGCAGCACCGACAGTGTGGGTCTCACTCGGGGACTTATTTTGTTGCGGACATTCTCCAGCACCTTCGCCCACCAGCCAGGGCCAAATCTCGACAGTGTTGAGTGAGGTCGATTGCGGGAGCCGAGAGTTTTCGTCTCAGTCTTCACCGATCTCTCGCCTTCATTGTCACCATCATCATCATCATCGAGGTTGTTGTCGAGGTCTTCGGTCTCCATCGTGGTGCTCGTTGGTTCTTCGCGTCGTCCCTGCGTCGCAACGCTTGGCCCCAGCGTGGTGAGCTGGGCCCTCGCTGTCACTACATGCCCCTCCGTGACCTCCCGCGGAATGTAACGCCCGGCGGCGAGTTCATCCCGCGCTCTCGTGGGCGACGCGACCGGGGTCGCCGTCTCCACACTCTCCACGATCTCGTTCGTCACGCGCCCGCCCTCGCCGCTTGCCGCGGTGACCTCCACTTTGTGGACCAGTCGCTCCATGCCCAACTTGTTGATCGCGACGCACTGGTAAAACCCGCCTTCGGTGACCTCCGGCACCACCAGCGTGCCGTTGTCGGTCACATACGTCCCGTCCGACGGCGACGAAGACGGTCGCACGACGCGTTTATTGGGCAGCACCCACGCGACCTCCGGATCCGGACTCCCCGTGGCGGCGCACGGGAGCACCAGCGTTTGTCTCCTCGCCGCTGTGAGGGCGGCGCCGTTGGCGTTGCGCTCGTTCACGTTGCCATCCACGACTTCCACCCTAAACGCGGCGGCGTCACTCGTTTCGTCGGCCCTCGCCACGCACCGGTAGACGCCCCGGTCAGAGGCAGCTGCCAGACGGACGGTCAGGGTGCCGTCCGCGGACACCGCGACCCGCCCGTCGGGCCCGTCGTACGGCGCCGGTCGCCGGGTGCCATCGGGGAATGTCCAGAGCACGCCCGGGTTGGGGAAGCCCCAGGGTTGGCACTCGATCTCCAGCGTGGCCCCCGATGCCACGACAAGGCCTGACTCGGCGGCGTCCTCCTTTCCGATCATCACCCAGGGGCTCTTTTTGTCCGGCAGGTCGGAGAGGTCGTAGGTCACATCGATTTCCACCGACGCGTCCAGATAGAGCTTCGTGGCGGAGGTCAGCCGCCGGTTCAACTTCAGGGAAATCTCCGAGTCGAGCAGCCAGGGCAGGTCGCCGCTCACCGCCGCCCGCACGCCGCTGAAGAAGCCCAAGCCGTTGTCCGACGCCTGCGCGTAGCTCGGCCCAGACCCCTCACGCTCGCCGGGGAATGTCCTCTCCCTGCGCAGCACCAGCGGGCTGTCGCTGTAGTAGGCGAGGATCCTCCACAAGCTCTCCATGTCGCCGGCCTCCACGGCGCACGCCAGGCGCACCGCGATCGTAGCCCGGACCGACAGGCGCCCTTCGGAGACGTTCAGCTTGGCGCCTCGGCCACCGTCGCCGTCGCCGCCCGGCCTCAACGCGTCGCAACCGAGGCCGCCTTTGTTGCCGCCATTGTCAGAAAGGTCGAGGCCGACCTTGCCGAGCGGTCGGCCCTGGGGCCCGTCGGGCCCCACGTCGCCCCACAGCGAGACGTTGCGCAGCTTGAGGGGCGAGGCGATGGAGGGACGCCGACAGGACACAGCCTCCTGCGGCACGGTGAAAAGCTCCTGGCCCCTGTTAGCGGTGGGGCTGGCACACACCGGGCAAAGTCTCCCGCCCTGTGCTCGCTCCCTCTTGCACTTGAGAAGCTCTGCCGGTGAGAAGGCAACGGGGCGTCATCACCATCATCGCCGTCAACGTCGTCACCGCCGGCGTTGTGCGTTTTGTCAAATGTCCAGTGGGGCAAATGGGTGAGAGGGGGGTACAATCAGCGTGATGAAGTATAGTTAAACGATCCCCATTACAGACATGGCATGAAGAGTCCTTCATCCAAAAGTAGATCGACAATTAATTGAAAATAATAACGATAGTTGAATGCATAGCAGGTCATATTGCATTGGAGTGTTAATTTCACTTTGAAATAATAACATTTAGACTGCAATTAACCTCGGGAAGCCTCGCCGAGTCTCAAGACTATTTTTACAGGAGGGTGCTGCTACAATGCTGCAGTGCTACCATGAGACGTTTGGCCAGCATCAACAATGAGAGGCCGTGACTTCTCGCCGGAGGAAAGCCGAGAAACCGGAGAGCACAAAACCATGCGTGGCAGGGGGTGGCACTGAATCGTCTCCGTGGTGACGGACTCAAGAACCCCACCGCTGCGCTTCCACCCCCCTGGCCACACCACGCAGCCAGCCCCAACCCGACAGCAACCCCACGGCAATCCCAAAGCAACTGCTCTTCCCAAGCAGTCTCCCCGTTCGAGCAATAACCGTGCTCAATCCTGCACATTGTTAAATTCACAATCATATTCTTTGGTTCTTTTGGTGTGGCTATCACAAATTATTTTTCGATGTACGTGACTTTACCGAAAGAAACAAAGAACATGAATTCCTTCAGTCACGAAAGTTTTAAGTTAAAATTTCAATTCACAATCGTTAATTCGAGGGAGGGGAAAATGTAACCTGCCCCTCGCACCCCCTCGCCCCCCCGAGGAGGACGTTGTCGGCCACGTACGAGAGACAGAGCTGCCAGAGAAATGTCGTCTTTTCTACCCATCAAATCGTACCCTGGTCACCATCATGAACATCATCAACAGCATCGTGATCGCCATCAACACCAATACCATAAGTGACAGGTGACCGGTGATCGACATCGAAACTTGCTGGGTGGACAGAGGCAGGGGGCAGTGGAAGATGACAGTCTTCACGCAGCCCACTTGCTTACGTGAGAATTCACGACTCATGCCATCAACCTGGCGACTGAACATCGATTAACGAACGATCTCCTGGTCTCTCGAGCAACAACTCATGAGGCAGAGGGATTCTGATTTAAGAATCTTGCATCGTTTGTTTCAATTTCTCGTGCGAGGAGGTCGAACCGGCGACCTTTGGACTGCAAGTCCAGTGTGCTAGCCACTACACCGTGGCTGAATCACACACAAGTTATGACGGAGTGAATTGTAACTAACCTCCGATAATTAACCTTGCACCATCCCATCCGCCTCACGTGGCCTCCTTCATCTTTCGAACCAGGTATGGCTGAACGTCACCTGGAATTCACTCGCTCTCTCACGCCGACTGCTCCCCCTCTCTCTTCAACCCCTTCTCCTGTGCACGCCTCTCCGAACTTCCTCTTTACGGTCAAATTGCGCGCGCGTCGCCAATGCAAATTAGCAAATAAACGAATCGGTCGACCGATAGATCGATCGATCACCGCGGCGCCAACGAGATCTTCGCGGGAACATTCTGCCGTCGCACGGGTGGCCAAAGGTCCATTGTCGCCGCCAACGGCACTGCCGCGGCGGCCGGCGCACCTTTTCCACCGCGGTCCCAGTCGAGGAGCCATCGCAGGCCGCAGTCGCAGGCCCAAGGGTTGTCGTGCAGGAACACCTGCTCGAGCTCGCCCGCCGACGAGAACAGGCCCCGGGGCAGCGAGCGCAGCCCGTTGCCCGACAGGTGCAGCTGGCGCAAGGAGGAGGCCGGCAGTAGGCGCCCCGGCGGCAGCCAGAAGGTGACGAGCGAGTCGCGGTGCAGTTGGCGCAGGCGGTTGCCCTCGAGGAAGAGCGAGCGCAGTGACACGAGGCCCACCAGCGCCTCCGGATGCAGGAACTCGAGCTGGTTGTGGTCAAGGTGCAGGCGCTGGAGGGACGCGAGGCCCCTCAAGGCCTCGCGGCCCAGCAAGCGCACCTTGTTGTGGCTCAGCTTCAGCAGCTGGGCAGAGACGGAAGGGTGGGGGGGACAGACACGGCCATCGGTTGGCAGCGTCACAACAGCTGGGCCAGGGCAGTCGTCATCGTGCTGCCTTCGATTTATTGAAATACGGCAATTCCTCGACTTTACGTCTCCCCCTTTTACGTCGCTTCACAAGGACGCCGTCACTTTATTATTAACACCACCGCTACCTAACCCACACTCACGTCGCCAACACCATCGTCCGTCCTTTCTCTCAGCCTCCGCCTCCACCGCACCCTGTAAATCACTTTGATCGACGTCGTTTCGATGTTCGTCGTCGGACCTTTCAGGAACGCATCCCCGACTGTATTAATAATAATAATAACAGCAGCTCACACGTGCTTTGGGCGTGAGCACCTCTCCGCCCCTTGCCAACCCTTCCTCCCTGCAGCGAGCCAGCCAGCAAACTAAACTTTTTATTCTAATAAAGTTTGACAAGATTGGTAAAGGTAAAATATAAAAAGGCAGCCCTGCAATTCCTTGCACACGCCACTATCAGCGAAAAAAAAAACCTCCAATAGACGAAGCTTTTGAGCACCTCTCTATACGGTGTTTGGCCTACCCTTCCAGGATGGCTAGATATCTTGTAAGAGGTGGGATTACCCACACTTTACCCCACTGCACGTGATCTGCTGATAGTCTAAACCTTGGTGTACCCATATATGCTGCTGGGTGGACAGAGGCAGGTTGCATTTAATAAACTTTGAAGAAACTTTGCACCATTCGTTCAATCCGTGCACCAGGAGAAAGAACCGACGACCTCTAGAGCGAAAGTCCAGTGTGGGAACCCTCACACCATGACATCATCATAGAAATAATAATGTAAACATTGCACTCGGGAAAGCCTGATTGCCCTGACTCGCTTTCAAGAGGGTGCTGAATGTTACGTTTGGATAATCCCATTGATGAGTGTTGAGCAACGTGGGAGGAAACTGGGGCTATTGGAGGAAACCCACGCATACAAGGGAATATCACTATAATAATCCTTACAAATTGATTAAAACTCTTTCCTGTACTATCGATACTCAAAGGAACATCACGATGCGAACTATCGCGGACCTTTAAAATATACGCCATTTCCCCCCTTGGTTTGCTGCGCTGTCAAATTATCGCGCGACCGTATATTCTCACGACGCTGCGACGCTCTGCCAGCTGGACTGAGCAGAAGCCGTCCCAAACCTCCTGGCAGGCAGCGATGATCTGAACAACGTCGCGAGTCCACGGCTGAGGTCCAGAACTCGGCCGCTTTGGAAGCACGCGGCACAAACTAGGCAAGATTGCAGACTACAGCATCGAGATGGCCTGGAGCAATCGGTGGGCTTCAAGCAACGTGCACAACAAACACCTCATCAGTGAGCCCACCACCACACTGCCCGGCTTCCACTACACACAGCTCATCAGCGAGTCAATCAACACCACACTGCCCGGCTTTACTACACACAGCTCATCAGCGAGTCAATCAACACCACACTGCCCGGCTTCACTACACACAGCTCATCAGCAAGCCCACCACCACCACACTGCCAGGCTTCCACTACACACAGCTCATCAGCAAGCCCACCACCACCACACTGCCAGGTTTCCACTACACACAGCTCATCAGCAAGCCCACCACCACACTGCCAGGCTTCCACTACACACAGCTTATCAGCGAGTCCATCAACACCACCATGCCCTGGGTTTCACCTTCCATGGAAACAATGGGCAGCACTTAACTGGCTGTGCACAAACCTTGGAAGGTTTGGATACCTGATGTGACGGTGGCATATCTGCCATTCACAAACTCTCAGACAAAACAATGGAATGGCTATCACTTCAGAGAAGAATGTCTCATGGTCGACCTTCGCTGGTTGTATGGAATCGTCACTGTCCTGCCGTCTCGCGGCCCCAATTGGGTTTGGCAGCTCCACAAACATCGGCGTGATGCACTAACACCTCCCCTCCACAGCGCTATGTTACAGATAATTACGGACGATGATCTGTCTGCGAGTGGACTGCACTGACCGTGAGAGACTTGAGGTCCTGGAAGACCCTCCCGCTGAGCCGCTGGATGCTGTTGCTGTGCAGAAGCAGCATCTCCAGGTGAGGAAGGCCCGGCAGGGACTGCTCGGTGAGCTGCAGGATGCCGTTGTACCTGCGGGGCAGACAGCGAGCACGGGACACTTGCACATCGCTCCGTGTCTAAACGAACACATAAAGCTGAACTACGTGCTTTTATTTTGCCAGGCAAGTCCACTGCGCTGTACAGCTCTTTCTCAAAAGCAACTTGGCTATCACAATTGTAGCTCATCGGAGTGGCTTATAACGTGGACATTTATAGCAGCCAAAGACTCTAAGCGAGTGCTGGATCTAAATGTGGAGGGGGAAACCGGAGAAAAATGAACACGACCACGCCGAGAGAGATATGCAAACTCCAAATATACAGCAGCAGGCGTCAGGGTCGCGATCGAACCCATGACCTCCTGAATACCAGGCGAGGTAGTTAACATCTAGTCACCGCGACGCCCCGACGGTCAACGATCCAGCCACTCCTTTTAGCAGTATGGATAACGATGATCGTGATGATGATAATCACGTTGTTTGTGATGATTATGGACGCTGATTATGTTGATGCTGATAAAGTATTTATGGTGGCAGTGATGATTATTATTCATTATGCAGCGATTCAAGATTGATGATATATTGATATTATGATAATGATGAAGCAGTGATGATGAAGATGCAGACGATAAAGATGGTGATAATTATGACGATGTAGTGATGACGCTCATGAGGTTGATGATGGTAGTGGTGATGATGATGCAGTAATGATGCTGACGATGGTGATGATGCGCACACACCCCAGGTTGACTCTCTGCACGTGCCCGGGCAGGCCGGGCGGCACCGCGTGCAGGTATCTGAAGGTGCAGTGGACGTCCGTGTCCACGTAGCACGTGCAGGCGCGCGGGCAGCCCGCGGCACCGGGGAGCGAACCCAGCAGGGCGAGCACCGCGCCCAGCAGCCACGGCACGGCCATTCCCTGCGGTCACAGTCGCCCGGTCATTCACCAGCCCCCTCACCTACCAGCCCCCTCACCTACCATACTTCACCACGCTGGTCGATGCCGGTTGGTGAGAGGTAACGGGTTTATTCCCGTTAATACCCAGGATTGGTGTGGATATATCCCTCGCAATTGATGTTAGTTTGCCATGAACGGGAATCGAACTTAGGTTGCCTCGCAAGAGGTCGGGCCCCATCTGCCACCGCGCCCTACCCCGAGCCTCTGATCCACAGCGTTTGGCTCAGCCATCGAACAAAGACGGCGGCCACCGCATCACGCGGCGCTTTCAGACGCGCTTCTGCGGCCGTCTGGAACGCTCTCCCTTCCGATGTTAGGAAGCCACTGGGAGCTGTGATGCACTTTTAAATCATCGTCTAGATTGAAAACGAATTTCTTTAGAACTGCTTTTTGTGTTTAGTTTATTGTCCTTCCCCCTCACCTCCAATAAGCACGGCTGGCTACATACGGTGCGTTATAAGTTCATCGTGAATTCGTGCTGGCTGATAGGCGCGAAACCCATTACCTCACCCCCGTTACCTCACCCAAGAGACGGATTGGGTGTTCTCAAGTGATCATCATCATCAGCAGGTAGGTGGGGGCATCCCGCCTGCAGGCGTCGCTGATCGTCATCTGTGTACTTCACACACCTGCTGCTGCTCATAGCTTGAAATACAACACCTCAACCCCTTATGAAATCAGATCCTGACAACATAATGGAAATATGAATAATTAAAAAAACACAGATTACCCAAAGTTAATCATTGACAGCGCACTGCCAATCCACTGCTGTATGAAGATGAAGGCCATCGCACGATGTTGTCATCACTCATGGGGATTGTATTGACCTTCACAAGATCTGTCTCTACAAATTAACATTGCAAAATGTGTTTTACACAACCCACGGCTTTACACGGCTTTCTGGAAGTGCATATCAGCAAGATTGGTCCAACACAAGCAAACTCTGGGCTGCTGCTGACATTCAATGTCTCATCAGAAGAGTCAAGCTGCTCGCTTGGATTAATCCTGGTGAACGAACTTTCAGATGTTTAGAGGCAATGGCCCTCTGTGTTAGAGATACTGGTCTTATTTTTTTAAACAAAACTGGATAATACATAATATTAAATAATAATTTACATCATCGTGGAGAATATAAGTAACACAACAATGGTTATGGTGGTGGGAAACAGTTTAAGAATTGTACTCGGGCTTTTAAAATGTATTTCTTTTCAACGGATTTTATACTTTCAGTATGATATTGTTATATTCGTGTCTGTCTGATGTCACGGTGCCTTCGTATGGCAATTCAGTGCCAGAAATGGGCCACAGATGAACTACACATGAAGCCTCATCTCACTTGATGACTCACCCACAACTTCTCAAGATGCTAGCTTTCGGTTTGTAGCTTAAATAACAACACACAAAAACAACAACAACGTCCTTTGCGATTCAAGAAGCTCGCGGAGCCTCAGGGGCTGGGAGACGGAACGTGTTGACGCACGCCCGAGCGGAGCCACGAATTTCAGGGCGCACTGCGTGTTGTGCGCGCGTTCGCCTGATAACCTGGAGGGCATCTGCAGAGCGGCGCTCGCCACTCTGTAAGACGCCGCGGAAAGTAAGACGCACCCAAAAAGCGTGCGTCTTCGTGGCAAATGCTATTCTTTGCAGCAATGTGTTCGGGAGATGAACGCCGATGATCGCCGCTGGTCGTGATCGCAGGGAATGTAGTCTCCGTCGGACACTCGCGCACGATGCATCGAGAGAGTTGGGTGATCAAAAGCAGCCTACGTAGCAGCTGAATGGCTGCTCTATGGAATAATTTTGTTTGGCGATTACATTCTTGCGAATGGGAATGCGTTCATGAGCTCGATGCCACCAATATCGAGGTCTGCTACTCGCCACGACGAGAGGGCTTCAAGAGTGAGTTGGTGTCGTTTTGCTGTTCCTCTTCCGTTGAAGGAGGGCACACTATAGCGACTTTACTATACGGTGCATAGTTTGAGTTGCATGGCCATGAGATGGCATTACTGTGGCGTATCTTTAGTGTATCTCTGAGTATCTCTATGCGTCTCTATGGGTTTGCAATACGGTCCATAGTCTGGGTTGCATGGCCGCATTCGCACGACTGTGGCTCACGTATTTAATTTTCCATTTCTGAAGATGTGCTCATGGGCCTGTTGTACAGTATGTACGTCTAACTTTTTTCGTACCGTACGTTGACAACGTGCTAATCGGAGGCATGGGATGTTCTGATGGGGTTGATAGTTACGCCAGTGTCTTCGAGGAGGAGGAATGTCAAAGCCAGGAGTTTGAAATACGCCCTCTTTAATGACCAAGCCCCGTATGTTGCTGCTGCTGATGATGATGATTTACACATCCATGTTAACACGAATTCAAAGATCCTCCGATTTGCATCGAGGCGGCTGTAGGATCTGAACCTGTTCTTGGCCTCTCTCCTGTAGGTAAACTCGGCCTGCAGTGAGTAAGCTGATGGTACGTGCTGTGTGGACAACACCAACGTTCAGAGACGATTTGATTGCTTCGCCTGATGACGACCGCTTGTGTTGTGATCGAAACGTCGTAGTTTTATTTTATTTTAATTTGAACCTATCTACGTGACTTTACCGAAAGACCCAAAGAATATGCTTCAGCTTATCTTAATCTTTACTTCACAGCGATGTTTATTCGACGATAAGTTAAATATATGTATACTCTTATTTCTTTCGGTAAAGTCAAGTAGGTAAAAAAATTTAATTAATAAAAATAAAACAATTTCATTTTTTACCTACGTGACTTTACCGAAAGAACTAAGAGTATGAATTCTTGCAGTCACGAAAGCTTCAAATCTAGAATTAAATATATGTATTTTTAAATTTGTAGCACGGATACAAGTGAACACACGCCCTCACAATAACACATCTCTGTAAATAAATGCATTTAGGCCACAGGGTGTTCATTTTAAAACAAATACAATTAATGTAATGGGATCTCCTTTGCCAGTACCAAAATATGACAGTAGGTTTTCCCTTACAGCTTTCTTTTGAGCCTAGTCTCAAAACGGTGTTAGACCAGAGGACGCCAAAAGTATTGTGGTTAATGCAGACTTGTTCATGTTTTTGTTTCTTGTTTGTTGCGGTTGCACCCGATTCAAGAGCCGAATGGCTCACAGGGCTATACCTAATAAATTAAACTGAAAACTGAAACTGACATGATTCCTTGTAAAAGGTTTAATTTTGGTGTTCTAATATCTTAACACAGCTGTTTGTTGCCAGAAAAAAGGATGAACCCTATTCTCAAGATTAACGTGATACATTGCATCAAATCGTACAGTTTTCATAACTATCCAATTACATTCATAACACTATGTGACACAATTTTTGTTCCTGGATAGTAAGTGTTATTTCGTAATTGATCATGCCTAAAAAGTATAGAAAATTACTATTATTCCCCACAAACTTTTCTTTTGTGACCAGGACAGTGATATTTTGAAATGTACCTATTTTCAATGAGAAAACGGGCGAATTTGTATCTTTTCGTTCACATAAAGTCAGAAAAAAAACATATTAATCAAAATTAACATGATTTATACTAAAGTAATACAAAAATGACTACAAAAGATTTAGAAGTGAGTAGTTTTTCGAGATTTACGATTATACTGTAAATCACTTCCACGAATCAGCCCCCAAATGTAGTCTCCCATCATGTTCTCGTTATACTGTCCTTGGTAGCGGCGTTCAAAGTCCAGTATATCCTGGTAGAAGCGCTCGCCTTGCTCCGAGTACGCTGCCATGTTCTCCTTGAATTTATCAAGATGAGCATCAAGGATATGGACCTTGAGGGACATCCTACAGCCCATTGTGCCGTAGTTCTTCACCAGAGTCTCAACCAGCTCCACATAGTTTTCGGCCTTGTGATTGCCCAGGAAGCCACGAACCACTGCGACAAAGCTGTCCCAAGCCGCTTTCTCCTTACTAGTGAGCTTCTTGGGGAATTAATTGCACTCCAGGATCTTCTTTATCTGTTGTTCGACGAAGACACCGGCTTTGACCTTTGCCTCAGACAGCGAAGAGAAGAAGTCTTGAAGGTACTTGAAGGCTGCCGACACCTTATCTACACTTCTGACAAATTGTTTCATAAGGCCCAATTTGATGTGCAGTGGTGGCATCAGCACCTTCCGGGGGTCCACCAGTGGCTCCCACTTGACATTGTTCCTCCCCAAAGAGAACTGGGTCCGTTGTGGCCAGTCCCGCCTGTGGTAGTGCGCCTTGGTGTCTAAATCTTTCGTAGTCATTTTTGTATTACTTTAGTATAAATGCATGTTAATTTTGATTCATGTTGTTTTTTTCTGACTTTATGTGAACGAAAAGACACAAAGTCGCCCGTTTTCTCATTGACAATATGTACATTTCAAAATATCGCTGTCCTGGTCACAAAAGCAAAGTTTGTGGGGAATAATAGACATGTTTTGTACTTTTGAGGCATAAGCAATTAGGAAATAATATGTACAACCCAGGAACAATAAAAATGTGTTACACAGTGTAATCATAGCCAATAGGTTACACCTGGATGACTCCGGGCTGTGATGATGAATGCAATTGTATATTAAACATTTAATTGGTTGCAATCATATCCAATTAGTTGTAATGTACAATTACTGTATAACAGATATAACCATATCCAGTTAGTAATAACATTCAATTTAATTCGTGGATTGTATATAGTAGGTTGATTAAATGTGCGTTTTTTTAAAGGTTTAGGTGATTGTATTAATATAGAATAAAAATGTTGGTGATGTTTTAGGTTTGCAAGGCAACGTTTAATTTTATTTATGTTTCAAGATACTTCACCTCGGCTGCAGGCGCCACACAAGGCGTGGGACTACACTGGAATGAGTTGTGGGTTTATCCAGTTATCGTGCAGATACAGTATAATCACATCCAATTGGTTACATCAAAGTAGTTATCAACAAATACAATGTTAAATGCAATTACAGTCGAAATCATATTGAACTGCAGTTCCATCCATTATAAATGATAATATCCATTATACCGTGACTGAGTTTGATAACACATTACACCTATATCCATTTTCTGTAACTATTTAATTATAATTAATATGCATTGTAACTGTAACTATATTCTGTGTACGTGTCTCTCTCCGAGCATTCATTCATTCACACCTGATGACGGTTGCTTGTGTTGCAATCGAAACGTAGTATTCTATTATTGATTTTACTTTCTTTCTACGTGACTTTACCGAAAGAACCAAAGAGTCATGAATTACAAAAGCCATTATAAGTGTGGTCAACGTGGACAGTCCGGGAGATGGCGTCTGAGATCGTGTGGCAGGAGTTGTTTAGTACCGATATCGATGTTGTTGACATTGATTATGATGCTCTGCAGCACAGTTTTAATGATATTGACTAGGGGCTCGGCAACCTGCGGCTCTTTAAGGGCTGATTCTGGACGTTATTCACGTGCGCGATCGCGGCTCTTGAAATCTTATTTTTCAAAAAGACTCTTATTGTTATTTTGGCTGCCGACCCTTTTTAAATCCTTTATATTAAGTTAACTTGCGCGCTTGCTTGCTTGCTTACGACCGTCAAAATCTTTCGGTCGTTTTTTAACCCACTTCCCGTGATCCAATCGAGCTGACATTTTCCACACAGACTCGTTGTGCGTGACAATTAATGTTCGTAAAAAATTTTTTCCAAAATTTTACACTTTTTAGGACAAAAATATTATATTTAATTACCAATTGCTTAATGGTGGCATGCAATCATCTGACCCATATGTGGCAGCCATCTCAAGCCAGAGGACGAGAGGACTCTAGCCGCCACGCATATAAAGGATTTATAGTGAAAAACTTTGTTTTTATGGGTTATACTTGTTATAGACCCAGTAACGACTCACGAAACAGGTCCGGGTTGGTATCTTAAAACGACGAGACGTCAACAACATTCGTCGCGAGCGCGCCACCAATTCCAGCGGACCAAAGGAGGTGGAATGCGCGCGGTGTCATCACGGGGGGCGAGACGACTCACCGCCATCAAATCTCCCAATCGGAGCTGACTCCGAGACTTCACTTCGCTCCTGCTCCGTCCGGAGCTCCTCCAAAATCTGTTCGTCTCCGTTCGTGCCAACGCCCAGAGTCCGTGCAGATACCTCCACCACCACCACCACGACCTCCTCCTCCTCCCTCCGCCCAGCAGCTCTTGGGAGCGCTGCTCCTCACTCTTTGCCAGCAGTGACTCCGTCGACTCTTCTTCTCGCTCTCTCCTGTCGAGAGAGAGAGCCCTGCCTGCCCCTCCCCTCGTCGTGTGAGAGGCGGCGGAGCTATTAAAGCGTTCACGGAGTGAAACCGCAACTGGGGAACCTCAGCCGGAGAAACCCAATGGGACGGCCTACTAAGAGGGGGGAGGCATTATACGGGGGGGGGGGAGATACAAAGGATTGTATTCCTGAGGCCAGGGATCTTGTCAAAGCACGCTCCAGCACGAACCAATACAGCGGTGGCCAACGTCTCAACAGACCACGAGCCAGACAAGTAGCCACGTTTTCAGTGTACACTGTAAATATTGAGTTTTCAGCACAGCACGGGAGACATTCATTCTTTCTTACTGTTATAGTAGCTACTTTCTACGGTATGCCCCTTCAACAGAAAGCCGCATGTGGTGGATTAAAGAGTCGCACGCGGCTCGGCAGACGCCAGTTGGACTAATCGATTTAAAAAGTCACCCACTTACATTGCGACCCATTGACTTACTGCATAGGGCCAGGTGTCGTTACTGAGTGCAGGCGGTGCAAGCGCACCGGGGACCCATCGGTTGGAGGGGACCCATCGTTTGGAGGGGACCCATCGGCTGGAGGGGACCCATCGGCTGGAGGGGACCCATCGGCTGGAGGGGACCCATCGGTTGGAGGGGACCCATCGGCTGGAGGGGACCCATCGGCTGGAGGGGACCCATCGGCTGGAGGGGACCCATCGGTTGGAGGGGACCCATCGGCTGGAGGGGACCCATCGGCTGGAGGGGACCCATCGGTTGGAGGGGACCCATCGGCTGGAGGGGACCCATCGGTTGGAGGGGACCCATCGGCTGGAGAGGACCAGGGCGTGGGGCTATGGAGGGGCTGGTGAGGTTGACAGCTCCAAATCGTATCTTTGCACCATGGGGGCCATACCCGACCACGTGAACTCACTGCTGATCTCCTTTAATGAGGGTTCAGAGGCAGCAATCTACCGACGTTTCCTGGACCCCCGCGCCCCCCCCCCCCAAGAAATCATGGATGGTGAAAACCCGCAAATCAAAGCGAAAAACGCTCGAGTGGAGCTCGCCGATCCAACTGGGGTGGCTCCACACGCACGCGAGCTACAGCCGCGTTAAACAACGCACCGCGGGTCGGTTCAACATGCCACATTGACCGCACAGAGACGCGTCTTCGACAGGCTTCGGTGAAGTGGAAGTGGCTTCCCATCACTCTCATCTCCAATCTGCGTGGAAGACAATCCCACCCCCCCAAATCTGTGTTCGTTTTCTGTGACGTTAAGAGATGCGTAGTCATTATGAATGAAAGGTAACAATGGATGGAGCAGAAGATGAAACATACTAGTTAACAACATTTTTAAAGTGTTGACAAAAATAAAGCCCCACTGCATAATTGTATGCTATCGGACAGTTATTGACAAATGTGATATGTTTAAAGTCTGTTTGACAGGTCACTCTACAGCTCGTTACCTCCTGTATGACTAAACAGCATATACGAGTACTCTTTGGCTTTTTCGGTAAAGTCACGTAGGTAAAAAATAAATTAAATAAATGAATAAACTAAATAAATCACGTTTCGGAAGCAACACAAGCCTCCGTCTTCAGGTGGAAGACGCCACAGCAAAATCAGTGGTGAATAAAGAGCTGTTTAGAGACACGCGATTATATGGGGTAAGCGAAGGGGGAGGAGCCAAGGAGTCGGTGGGGAGGGGGATTAGCTGATTAACAGATCAGGGTAAGTGTAAGAGAAATGTGAAGCAGCCAGAGCGGACCGAGCATTGGGATGCGGATACTATAGAGGCTCCTGGGCATAATGCTATGGGAGGGGGGAGGGGTGAGTATTGGGGCACTATTAAAACACTGTACGTCAAATTTCTGAGTGATGGTAGTGTATAAAGCTGGGAGTAAAATAATGGGAATATGGATGACTGTAAAACTATAAAGCAGCTAAAGTTTAACTTGGTTAATTACATCCTTCCAATGATTGCTCAATTTGAAACCATCCTCTCGGTTGAAGTTATGTCTATGTTTGTGTATCTGGATGGCTTTATGGACAAATCTTTGGTGGTATCCAGGTTTGCGGAGTACCTTGGTATCAGAGAACACAATGCCATGATATCCAGCAGTATTATAACATGAGCCAAAGCTTGCCACATCTTGGAAGCCAACCGAGAACGTGCCTGGATAGTGCTCAGGAGCGACTACGGTGTACAAGACAGGTTTCATAGGGTTGTTGCTGGGTGGGATATGCCATGGACAACACCGGGAAGTGCAGCAAAATCCACTGTGCTGCGATATGCTCCAACATTCTCTGCTCCATACCTTCACCAACCCTGCATTGACGAGCACAGTAAAGCATGGTTAGGGAAAAACCCTCAACCCACAGAGTTAACGTGTCCAACATTGCCTGAGCCTCAATCATCTGCAAAAACAATCGGCTGTCTCTAACACTCACGGACCTTCATAGACCCATCATTTCCCACGAGTACAACCTTAATCGAGCTAATTCAACCATCACAGAAGTGTTTTTATCAAACCTGCAAACGCCTACAACAGATACATTCCAAAACATTCCTAACGCTTAAGACCCCAAACCGAAGCCTTACACCATTTGTACTAAAGCAGTTCCTCTGAGAACGATAATGCAGTTTGACCACGATGCAGAAATTAACAAAATTGTACATGTTTAATGTGGAAGAGGGACACAAATCAATACAACTCGCATTCTGTATTTACACACTGCACGCGAGCATAGTCAACGCAGGTCCAATATGGGCTGCAGAGATTTGCTTCAGCCTCTGAAGCACCCGACAGGTTGGATTATCCAGGTAAGGAGCCAGCAACGTGAAGCACCTGGGCCAGGGTTTGGCCACCCACCACAGCGGTGTTTTTCCATGTTTACCGATTCACCTTCTTTCAAATACATATTACATAGATGCGCGTGTCACACGCCTCGATAGCGAAACACATTCCACGTTATCTAGTACCGATTCAAATTGATATAAATCATGTCTCAGTGTCCCACTTGACGTGTTTTGAAATTAAGCATGATAAATTTTTATTTTAAAGGGGGTAAACTCGGAAGAATGTACAGGTATCCCTGGGTTTACGAGCATTCGTTTTATGGAATTTAGCTTGAACGCATTTGACACATTATGGATATTATTCAATTAACGAAATCGAATTTCAGCATTAACAAAATGTCACAGCACGCGCCACGAGATCATCAGACAAGCACCCGGAAGGCTGCGCCATCCATCTGCTGGTGTCATGGTGTCCCTTCAATGACACAGCGATGCCTCCACATCGCCTTTCCAGTCATTCCAACATTTTTTGCGCGAGTTCCCTGAAGAGGTTATTTTTGCTTTAAATTATTCAATCGTTTTCTTATTAGTTATTATTTATGTATTGTGAAAAGATATATAGGGGTGTGTTTTTAGGTTAGGAGTAGAGTTCGGGGTACAGTTTGAATGGCTGTCCGAAACACCTATCATTTTTAGTTTTAAGTTAATGGTAAAAGTCGTTGCGATTTACGAAATTTTGTATTACGAGTCTTTTTGAAGAACGCATTCCTTTCGTAAATCACGGGATATCTGTACCATGGTGAGGGAGTCCGGGAACCCCTGCATCAAGCCCTGCCCTTGGCAGCAACGGCTGCAGGTTATTCAGGTGCTGCCCTGCACCACTTGCACAGGCTGTATGCACAAGGGATGCTCATGCTTCTCCACCTTTACCATTTAAATCACAACGTTATATTGGGAAACATGGCCAATTATCCACATGCATTCTCCATTCTGTAATTGAAAAAAAGTTCAGCGACTGCCAATGCACTGCTGAAGACATCACAACTGTGCTGGTCATGTGGGGGGTTGTTTGACCGTACTTCACCAAACTGGTCAGTGAGGGTTGGCAAAGGGGGTTACAGCCCAAAATCCTGTTCCAATACCACTCGCCACTGATGTTAGCCATGGACAGGAATCAAGCTCAGGCTGCCAGATTCATAGTGCAGTGTCTCAGTGCAGCATCAAGCTGCTCCCCCTGATGATGCTTCTTCAACTTCTCGATCTCTTGTTCACCGGTGCATGTGTAAATGTGCACGTCTTTGTAGTTATCCACATCTACAGATTATTTGGTCAATTATTCTGAGCGAGTCATTTTTGCAAAGGCCAACTAGGATGTTTAATATGTAATAAAAATCGTCTAAGTTTATCATAATGTGTTTTACACATTCATCGTCGACTGCCAGGACCAATGTTTCAATGTAGAACCTAAACAAATAAACACATTTTAATAAAATAAAAATTACATCACCTTTGAACATTGTGTGGACTTTCAAGAAATTTAATTGAGCGCATGAATCTTCTTGGTTCTTTCGGTAGTCACGTAGTAGGGAAGTAATAAAATAATAAAAATAAAACATAAAACAACTCTCACGACGTTTCGGCCACAACGCAAGCAGCCGTCCTCAGGTGAAGAACATGTCTGTCGATAAGACAGAGTCTGAATGACACGTCCTAGGCTATGTATTATTCTAAGACATAGGGTAGTGTATAGTAATACAGTATACAATTTGGTGTTGGGTTTGTCTATGGCAGCATATAGTGTGGGATAGACCCGTGTGATGTAAGGAAAAAGTTTAAAAAGTTTAGCTGGAAGCAGATCATATTTTTTGCGACCTAGAATTGTAATGTATTACTTACGGTTGGTAGCTCAGCTTATTGAGAGTGTATTTGGCATACTGATGATACTATAAAGTTTATACTTTAGTTTTTTACGTGGTTGTTTGGTTGCTGCAGCTGCATACTATTCACATCCTTCCCTTTGTTGGTGCTGCCCCTGCCCCCTCCCTTTGATGCTGCTAATCCTGCATAATGCATGGGCATAATATGACTTTGAAAACCCCCCGCCCACCTCCCACGCATTTCACAATTAGCACTATTCGCATTCCTGCATTTCCCATAAATATGCTAAATTCCTCTTCATATGCAAATTCTTTTGTCAAGGCGCTCTTCCTCCTCCCTCACAGCTTAAATAGACGCTCCAAGCCTAGGACGTGTCATTCAGACTCTGTCTTATCGACAGACATGTTCTTCACCTGAGGACGGCTGCTTGCGTTGTGGCCGAAACGTCGTGAGAATTGTTTTATTATGTTATATTTTTATTATTTTATTACTTCCCTACTACGTGACTTTACCGAAAGAACCAAGAAGATGAATCCCTGCAGTCACGAAAGCTTTAAATCGAAATTTGAGCGCATGAAGTTTAATAAAAATGTAATTTTAAAAATGCCCTCATTTTGTTTGATTCATAGGTATGCATACATGCCCTGACATGTTCTGGTGTCCCCTGGTTTACTTGACTTATGCTTTGCGTAGTTTGTTGTAATTTCAAACTCTAGAAAATCATGCCGCCGCGATCCTGTATGGTTTGCACTTGGGCAATCTTCCCGTAGCCACCACGGCCGAGGTCATAGTCTGTCCGGTACTCGTCTCGTACCTGAAACCAATCACCGCACACGCACGCACACACACACGCACATTAAACAGGTAAACGTGGGAGAATTGTTTAAAGCATGACCAAAGGTGTAAATATAAACAAAGCAGTGACGTTTATCAAAATGTGAAAATTGAATGTTTCAACGTTACTCTGCTGCCCTCTACTGAGCTAACGCTATTGTCCAAATGGGTACAAGTCCACCATTAATCATCACCGTGGGAAATAATTAACGCTACTCGATGAGGACAAAGCATTTAGGCCATATTGAAACTTGACACTTTTCTGACCACGCCAATTAACTTAAATAATCATCTTTGCTTGGCATGCAATATTTATTCAATGGTTAAAATAATCGTTACGACACATGCATTGCATCGTGCATGAGAATTTCTTATTTTATTTTCATATACTGTATGCGAACCTCACAACCACTAAATATTCTATGACAGCAACTGCAAAAAAGAACATTGAATTGTGGCCCCGAATCCTAAGATTTAATTAAACTGTACATAATTACGTGTTAAAATCAATCGAGTCGAATGGAATTTGCAGTCTCAATTGAATTTCCTGTTTCATTGGCAATATCTGGTTTGTAATACCATTCTTCCTCTGTGCTGTGTCATTTGTAAGCTATATTATTCTATTCAACAGCCAAAAACGTAAGACATACATATTTACATACACAGTTCAATGCATACATACATAATGTTAGAATTGTATCGATTTACTGTTACAAGTGCAGTAGAACACCAACAAGTCACCTGGCCTCCACTCTTGCCACGGCCGAACTGGCGGCCCTCCTTAAATCCCGCGTCCCAGTCCGTTCGGATGATCCTGTCATCCAGCCGCGTGCCGTTCACGTAACGTAGGGCGTTCTCCGCATCCGAGCGGATGTAGTACCTTGGCTCGAGTGAAGGTGAAAATGTTTTCTGACATTGGAGCTTTACTTCGCCACACACAAGTCACAGTGGCACTGGGGATCGAGAGAACCGTGCATTGTGCAAATTTGTGAATAAACACAAACCAATTTAATTTCTCGACATAAACTGAAATGTAAATACTCTTTGGTTCTTTCGGTAAAGTCACATAGGTATAAAATAAAATAATTCACGACGTTTCGATCGCAACACAAGCGGTCGTCCTCAGAACCAAGACTATAAACTGAAATGTATATCATAATTTCATTTCATAGAGCGCCATTCATGCGATTGCATCCCACAACGCTGCACATCAATTATCCAGTTCCGTACAAGAAAATAAAACCCAAAGATATCTACGTGCCTTTACCGAAAGACCTAAAGAATATGAATTTCTGCAGTCACGAAAGCTTTAAGTAAAGAATAAAACCCCACTACTTCGCAAAAAAACCCCCATAAATAACGAGATAAAAAAAATACACAAAACAAAAAAAAAGTAATTGCAGAGAAGTCAATAAATCCGTTCGGACTCCATACCTCTGACCATAATCCCAATATTTCACCGGATATATCATACATCTAAATGCCATTGCATCTCAAGATGTGTTATATATATAAAAAAAAAACTCGCGAGAACAGGCCAGGGAAATGCAGAGATCCTCGTCTTTCCTGGCTGCAGGATATCGGCAGATCCCCTCTTGAGGCAGCGCATGGGAGGGCAGCTGCTCTGGAGTATGGCGCTTGGAGGGACTCATTTCTTAACAACTACTTTTTGTATTTGGTTTGTTGTCCTTCCCCCACATCTTCCATTAGCACGGCCGGTTACATACGGTACGACCGAAGTTCAACATACGTACAAATAGTGCCTTCCTAAAAAACGTACTCAAGAGTCAGCGAGACGTTTCTGAGTAAATGAATGTACAATACTATTACGCGACGGCCCTCATAGACCAAAGGATACTCGACGAAGCAGAACCCACAGGAGGTCCTCTTGACCTTGTCAAGGCCCATGATGATGCGCTTGATGTCGCCGCATTTGACGAAGAGCTCGTGAATCTGTTCCTCGGTGGTGTAGAACGACAGGTTCCCCACGTACAGCGTGCAGCTCCTCCTCAGAAGCTCCTCCTGCTCCGTACGGCTGCCCTTTTTGGCACAAGGAACAGAGTCAAAGCATTGGCACACACGTGGGACGGTAATCAAGGTGGTAACAGCAAACAGCACCAGATGTCTCATGCCAAGATATTAGGAAGCCACCTCAACTATGCAATTGTCATTCATCTCGATTGAGAACTCCCTTCTTTAGAACTACTTGTTTCTGTTTAGTTTGCTGTCCTTCCCCCGCACCCTCCGATTAGCACGGTTGACCACGTGCGGTGCGAAAGAAGTTCAACATCCACAGCGAACAGTGATGATGATGATGATGGTACAGTGGCGTGTGCAGGCAAGGCGCTCGCACTAGGCCTCGGGCCTGGCCTTCTCCCGACCCGGCGAGGGCTGCATTTGGCAGCGACGCCGCCGCCTCCTCCCCTCTGTTCCCCCAACGAGCCTCACCTTGAAGTGCTGGTCGCGGTACTGCGTCACCTCGGCGTACGAGTCGCTGTCGAGGGTCGCGAGCCGTGGCAGCGACGACGAGGAGGAGGAGGCGGCGGCCATGGCGACGGAGTCCCGAACGGACGGGTCCCAGTCGCCCGCTCCGGGCGGCGTGGAGAGGAAACTGCGGCGGGGGGAGGGGGGGCGGCAGTAAAAGGTTCCGGGTGGAACCTTTAATGCCGCACAGCGCCACCCACTGCCGTGGCACGACGTAGCCCGGGGAGGGGGCGATCTGAAGAACGATTCAAACTTCATTCGAAGCTTTCGTGACTGCAGGGATCACTCTTCTTGGTTCTGTCGGTAAAGTCACGTGGGTATAAAATACAATAATATATAAAGACGTTTCGATTGCAACACAAGCGGTCGTTGTGTTGCGATCGAAACGTCGTGATATATACATCTTTTGTTTAATTTTATTATTTCCCTTCTACGTGACTTTACTGACAGAACCAAAGAGCATGGATTCCTGTAGTCACGAAAGCTTCAAATCTAGTTTGAACCACGACACAGATACGTCTTTCTGTGTGTCTCTGTGTGTCTTTCTCTGTGTCTCTCTGTGTGTGCCTCTCTGTGTGTCTCTGTGTATGTCTCTCTGCTTGTCTGTCTGTGTGTGTCTCTGTGTGTCTCTGTGTGAGTCTCTGTCTGTGTGTGTCTATCTCTGTGTCTCTGTCTCTCTGCGTGTCTCTGTGTGAGTCTCTCTCTGTGTCTCTCTGTGTCTCTGTGTGTGTCTCTGTGTGAGTCTCTCTCTGTGTCTCTGTGTGAGTCTCTGTGTGTCTCTGTGTGTGTCTCTCTGTGTGTCTCTGTGTGAGTCTCTCTCTGCTTGTCTGTGTCTCCGTGTCTATGTTTTGTCTCTCTCTTAAATTTAACAAACTTTGGAAGAACGTAATCAACCAGGTGGGGTGTTGTCTGTCGTGTTGGACGACTCTCTATGTTGTGTCGCATTATATTTCCAAGTTTACGAGGTTTGTTTTCTCATTCATTTGTACCTGATGATGGTTGCTTGTGTTGCAATCGAAACGTCGTATTCTATTATTATTTAATTTAATTTCTTTCTGCGTGACTTTACCGAAAGAACCAAAGAGTGATGCGTCGATTGTAGGCGGTGTACGAATATCATTCAGTGGGCGATACAGATTCCTTTGTCTTAAACAGGGCACACCTTCTACATGCATTGCGAGCCGCAACGCGCGCACTCTGTGTGACACGTCTCAGTGGGGTGTGCTGTAATTACAAAGCTCATGAAAACTAGGGACAAGGCTTGGGCATGTGCTCAGAAAAGTAATTTGGTCAATGACTGGCTAGAATACAGGATTTTAAGGAATAGATGCGTCAAAAAAATACGGCATGCAAAAAATAACTACTTCTCTTCCACTCTCCTTGAATCTCATGGAAATGCCAGGATTTTCTGGAAAACAATCAAATGTATCGAAAAGGCATCCAAAACAGATCATCTGCCCGTTCAGCTTAACCGAAATGGGGAATATTTTTCAGATCCCCAAAAAATAGTTGACAATTTTAACCTTCATTTTTCTGAAGCTGGTACCCTATTTGATAATGTATTGGGAGTCACCCCTGCTCATGCAAATTCCTACACTCCTGTCCAAACATTAAGCGAATTTAGTTTTCAGCCAATCCACGAAAGTAATGTTCTGAAACAACTGTCCTACCTCAAAGGGTCCTCCTCTACCGGAGCAGATAGTATTCCCGTCTTTGCTCTACTAACTGTTGGTCACCTAATATACAAACCTATAGCCCATATTTTCAACCTGTCCATCAAAGAAGCATCAGTTCCTCTAGAATGGAAACATTCCTATGTTCGTCCACTTCACAAAGGGGGCCCTAAAGATGATCCAAATAACTACCGACCTATCTCAATTTTGTCCCCGTTGATGAAAATTTTTGAAAAATTATTGACCTACCAAATTAACAGTTTCCTGTCCGCCAACAATCTATTACATCTAAAACAATCTGGGTTCCGAAAAAAATACAGCACCACATCTGCTGCATTAGACTCTCTGAATCACATTTACAGTAGCCTTGATAATAAGCAGTACTGCGCCTGTCTTTTTCTTGACTTGTCCAAAGCTTTTGATACAGTAGACCACAACATCCTGCTTAGTAAAATAAGTTGCCTCGGTTTTTCCGAAAACACAGTAAAATGGTTAAAAAAATTACCTCTTTTCTCGCACCCAAACTGTATTCACAGATGGTTGGAGGTCAAACAGTGTTAAGATAACAAAAGGGGTTCCACAGGGTTCCATTCTCGGCCCCCTCTTGTTTTATCTTTATGTAAATGACTTGGGCACTGAACTGGATTATTCCAGGGTAAATCTTTTTGCAGATGACACGGTACTAATTACTGCTGGCCGCTCTCCGGATGACGTGATTGCTAAGCTCCAGAGTGATTTCAACAAACTACAACATCAGCTAGTTGCTCTTAAACTAGTCCTAAATCCTGCCAAAACCAAGGTGCTATGCTTCTCACCAGGACTAAAGCGGGAAGTTATTTTTCCCCAATTACATACCTTAAATAATGATCAAATAGAGCAAGTCAAGATCTTTAAGTATCTTGGGGTCATCCTGGATTCAAAACTGAATTTTGAAGATCACATTGATTATATTGGGAAAAAGACAAAAATTAAAATTGGTTTTCTATATCGACACAAGCACTGCTTCCCTCCTATGTTCCGTTTGGAATTGATTAAAGCTACCGTACTGCCTCTACTTGATTACTGTGACATTGTGTATAAATCAGCCCCAAGTACTGTACTGAAGAAGCTTGACTCAATGTATCACTCGGCCTTAAGATTTGCATTGAACTGCCCATATAGGACTCACCACTGTGATCTCTACATTGGGTCAAACTTAACATCTCTGAATGTTCGACGGTTTGTGCACCAGATCTTATTTATTCATGATGTACTTGCAAAAAAATCTGCAGATTACCTGCTGGATCTCGTCTCTGTTTCAAAGAACAAATTTGACCTAAGGTCTACACTCATTTACCAGCTTAATATTCCCTATTGCCGTACATATACTGGAGGAAGGGCCTTTGCTATTGATGCCCCCAGGGTCTGGAATGCTGTTGCAAATAAATTGAAACTTGAGTCACTACCTATGAGATCTTCACTCAAAACTGCTTTAGAGGAGTTGTACACCCCTAGCTGCCAGTGCTATTCAGTGACCTAAAATAAAATGTTTCGCTCCGGATGATCGCTACAAAGTATGACCTGTGTTTTGATTTAGTGTGCTGATCTTAAAGGTGCATTGAAAAATTACAATACTCCGATTGATGCTCCTGCTGTTGTGGAGTGACTCATGCAGCCAGCTATGGCTGCAGGGTTTTGGTAGTACATGTTGTTTATGCCATTTATTGTGAAAATTCCGTCAGTTCCTATGATTGCTTTTTCATTGCCTTCATGGCTTTATTTTGGTGATTTCGAAAAGTGTATTGGTTTAGCCATGTTTGTGTTGTTGTAGTACAGAGTTAGACTGATGGCCTTAATCTAAGTTGTCTTGTGGTTGTTGTTGTTGTTTGACTTGCATCCCACTGGGATTTTTGCACACAGCGTTGGTGTACGGTGTTTTTTCTGCAATATTTTTTGCTGTCTTTTCTTGGATTTTCTGTTTGCACTTAGTCACATATTCACTTTAAGATGTTTTTTTGTTCATGTTTTTGTTTTTTGTTTGTTGCGGTTGCACCCGATTCAAGAGCTGAATGGCTCACAGGGCTATACCTAATACATGAACTTGAACTTGAACTGTAGTTCCACGGTGTTCTGGGTGCTCAAGGGTGGTGGGGCGGTGCATTCACACATTGAGTCGCAGAACATTGGTGCTCTGTTGAGATCTAGCAAAGGAAATGCTGCATTTTGGTACAGTATTTGATTTACGTAGAAGGTGTGGCCTATAAAAACAACAAAATTGACATTTCAGGACTGCCTTTCGTGTTTAGCTTGTTGTCCTTCCCACGCATCTCCGTTTAGCGCGGTTTGATACGTACGGTGCGAAAAAAGTTCAACATACATACAGTACATGTTGGTTTTCACTGGTTCAAATAGGCCTTGCACTGAGCTGAAGGTTTAACCTACAGTGTGAGGAGTTCACTGCGAAAGAAGTTGAACATACACAAGTTCAACATACACTCATACACCCGTGGCAATTCAGTAAAATCTGAAGTCTTAGACACTCCCTCTCTCCACCCCTTCACCAACTGGCACTGACCAGTATGGTGAAGTATGGTCAAGCAAATGCCCATGACTGACATGATTGTAGTAATGGGGCTGATCGTAATCAAAGGAGAGTGGATTGACAAAGGGGTGTAGTAAAGTCGATGTGTTAGTGGACTGTTCGCTGGTAAACTTGATCAGTTGGTAACCCCCTCCTCCCGATGAAAGCACTTCATGATATGTTTTTTATTAGAACATCAAAGGTCGCCACACATTTAACACCACGACATTTTGCAAGCGTAGTAGGAGCCGAGTTGTAAAAATTACGTAAGTGAAATTAACTTGTGTAAAGTAAACCCTGCCAATGCATGTGTCCGGGCATGTCGGGTCCCTCAGACTTCCACAATAAGTTGCATCATAACGAAGGATCACAGCAGAGCTGTGTGCTTGACTAAAGCATGGCAGTACTACACAGTACAGTATATATCTAGAGCGTACACTTGGCTACTTACGTTGCATAATACGTTCCACATATATATGCCCTCTATGCAGACACCATGCATCTCATAGCAAATTCATGTAATGTTGGTTGATGCGTGAGCTTCTCATACGTCCACCTGGCCAGACATGAGTACCTGTTGTCCACAAACTCAACACCGGCTCTAGATAATTATCCCGTGCTCTTCTCAAACCTCAATGTGACTTGTAATTTGGACATGTCATAAGACAAAGAATCAGACCTCTCGCTAATTAGTACATCACCCCGGGCTAGATAAGTGCACGGAGCGGGATGTTATTAAACCAATTCCGAGATACCTTCAAGTGACCTTTGCAAGCCACGCATTAGGGTGTTACTTGCGACCTAAAAATATTCTCGCATGAAAATGGTGCATGACAACCAACCTGTAACAAAAATACACAGAGCTGTAATTCAGCTGAAGTGAAGCAGC